GATATGTTACCGAAGCACCCAGGAGCTCATTCATTTCATCGAGAGGAAAAAGTCACTGAGTCTAAAAGTAGGAAAGCATTCAGAAACACTGAAACTGAGTTTAGTGGATGAGGTCACCGAGTCAGAGAAGCACTGACTTCTTCTTCTGTGTTTGGTTTACTCAGACACAGCTCACACAACAGAGCTCTACAGCAGCAAACATCATCAGACCACAGTGAGTCTGCAGGGCGTTATCTGACTGTAGCCTTTGCATCTCCATGTCACTGGTAGCTGAAACAGATTACACACAATGAAATCCTACACGACGTAACGCTGTGAGCTGCACACAGCCTTGGTAAAGACTTAAAACAGGTCAAATTAAACAGCTGCAGACACCTCGGCAACCAAAGCGTCTCTAATGTTCCCTCAGAGGAGCTTCCTAACGTTGCTAACACTAACACTAGCAGTGTTAGTGTTGCTAGTGTTAGCAACACTAACACTAGCAGTGTTAGTGTTGCTAGTGTTAGTGTTGCTAGTGTTAGCAACACTAACACTAGCGGTTTTAGTGTTACTAACACTAGCAACGCTAACACTAGCAACACTAACACTAGCGGTGTTAGTGTTGCTAACACTAGCAACACTGCTAGTGTTAGTGTTGCTAGTGTTAGTGTTGCTAACACTAGCAACACTAACATTAATTAAACAAAAATAAATCTTTTAACCGACTAATGACGGAAGTGACGCGTAAGCAGCTAGTTTAAGAACATCTAGCCGTTGCTCTGAAGAAAACGGCTAGATGTTTGTTATTATTATTTAAAAAAACTACATGTTAATATACATATAATAATAATTATTACAAATTGTATAATATCTAAACTTTTTTAACATGAATTAAAATATGAATAAACGCTATGAAATGATTTTGTTTAATCATGATTTATTTTTTTTAACAATTTTTTTTACATAAAGTTAAAATGATCAAGTAAACTAAACAGTAAATATATAAAAACAAAATGAAAGTAATACAACATGAAAACGAAAT